TTTAAACCTTTAAATAATTCATAGTCTATAATATGTATATACTTGATATAGGAAGACATATCTTTTTTTTTTGTTTTTGTAGAAAACATAATTTTTAGAAGTATCATTACGATTCTAGAATCTTCTTCTTCTGTCTGGCATTATTAATCCCGGCTATTGCCGGGGTCTGCCGATTTTAGAATATTGATTTGATTGAAAATTTGAATTACGATTTTAGAATATTTTTAAATATATTAGACGATGTGTTTTATATTGAATGAATTGTGAGAATAATTATTTAAAAATTCTAAAAAAAAACAAAAATCTTGGTAGGACAATATTCAAATAGCGTATTACACGAGATTGTATTTGGAGTAAGGCCACCTGAATTTCAGCGAGGAACAATTTGTGCATTTTTTATGTAGTTAGTATAAAATGTAAGTGTCTGTCGGTGGGCGTTAGTCGCAAAAATAAATAATAATCATTCCATGATTCTTTCGTTTCCTAATAATTATAGTTACCTTTTTTATATATTTTTTTTAAATAAAACTATCTTTTCGGTTTTTTTCGCGAATTTATTTTGATTTTTGGTTCCCGACGTTTCGAATGCTTTATTACAGCAATCATGGTCATGGGAGAGACTGAGGTGTTAGATGTCTCAAAGGTATTATAAAGTTGTTACAGACAGCCTACCCACAAATAACAAAATGAATTCAAAAAATTGAAAAATGGCACCAAAGTACCTTACAATTTTTTTTTAACTTTAAACATTTTAATAAATTTAATTAGTTTTATAAATGAATATGGAATATTATTTATTTAATTTTAGCTGTTATTATTATAATTATTACAATTTTAAAAATATTAATTAGTTATCTATATTTAGTGTTGCCATTATTATATTTATAACCATAAATAAAAACAATAAAATATTAATTATTTAAGCCATATAATTGATCTATGTGTAATTTAAAAAAGTTAAAATTAATTAAGAATTGAAATATTTTTTTTTATAAATAAAAACTACTTTATTTGTAGGACAATAGTAATATCGTGTTTCTCTTTTATTTCTTTAAGAAAATAATAAACAAATTAGCTTGTTATTAATTAAAGGAATTCTCCGTTCGGGAGACAGTATGCGAGCGTAGGATAGGAAAATTCTACCGTTTTATTTGTAGAACGATATGGCCATTTAATTGTACAAATTTTTTATAATAAATACTATGCAAATCAGGCGGCTATCAATAAATTTTATGACGTTGGTATTTTAACAAGTCCACGTTTTGATCCAAACTTTCTGTATTGTATGACAAATATTTATTTGTTTTACTTTTGAATTATCCCAAGATTAAAGTGCAAATAAACCTGTTAGTAATAAAATGACAATCACCGTGTAGAAATGGTCCTTATCATACCACAATTTTATCGACCACTATCAAAAATTTTTGAAAAAAAATATCTGTTCCCATCAAATGAAGCTACTTGTAGTTTCAGCTTAAGAAAAAGGGGCGGTCTGCTGTATGTAGAATATTATGTTCGAGCACTTTCCTAGATAAAGTTTTCTAATATATTTCAGTCATGCCGGAAAGTAACATGTTTCAGCAGTAACGTCCATAAACTGGATTAATGAGAAATATATTATATCTTTAACATGGAAAACAAAAACGAACCTATCCCACGGGAACCGTTTTTTCCGGGATACAAAGTAGCCTATGTGTTATTCCAGACTATAATCTATCTCTGTGCCAAATTTTATCCAGATCCGTTCAGCCGTTCTGGCGTGAAAGAGTAACAAACATCCATAAATACAAACTTAATAAAATAATACGGGCTTAATAAATTAAATATAAATTAAATCTTGATACTTAGACCGACTGAGTGCACAATTTACGCTGCATTACATTGTAATGAACAAAATATGATAAATTGTAGTACAAACTAGTTCAATCCCCAAATGATGGCGCGTCCGCCCGCTTCAAACTTTTAAACTACATAAACTCTAACAAAGCCGGAGTTAATCTGACAGACAAACTGACACAGGGTAAGTTGTATAGAATTGCCAACATAAATTAAATATCGATACTTTTTACATTATGTCGAATTTTGTATAGATATAACGTACTAGCCGTAACCCGCCCGCCTTTTCTGGGCGTGAGTAAAATATATTTATTTTGGTGTTCCCGGACCTTAATGTATATTTAGGGTATTCGTTTATTTAGGGTAAACAAAAAAATAAAAACAAATGAATAAAAGAAGTTTAACGTCTTTTGTTTTTATTGGCGGAAAAAATATTTATGAAAGTAAATAAAAAAAAGAGTGTATGGAATTTAAAAAATTATCTAATACTTTATACATACAATCCCGCTTCGAGTGGTCAGAGTCTCATACTGATAGGTTCAGTAGTTTGTAACGATGGCGTGACAAAGAAGAAGAAATACGATTTTATTAGAAAAAAAAACTAGCGATTTACTCTCGCATCGCTCGGGTTTCTTCCTAGGTACGTTTTAACGGTTAGAATGGAATAGATAGACTATATATGTATTATATATATACATAGGTATGATGAGTTGTTGTGGATTGTATTATAACGTGTTTTCCCGTGGGAATGAGATAATCTCCCGCGGTAAAAAGTAGCATATGTAGTGACATTGGAGAGTGCTCCAACCCTCGAACTATCTCCACACAAAAAATCACGCCAATCCGTAACTCCGTTTCGACGTAAAAGAAGAACAAACATACAAACTTTCACCTTTATAATATAAAGTATGGATATGGATTGAAAATTTTAGTCTTCCTCATGAACAGTTTGCTATAATTATAAAAAAAAACCACGACAAAGTCTTAAAAGATAGTTTCCATTTATAGCTTTTATGTAACAGTTACAATTTAATATTACTTACATTAATAGAAAAATATTTGACGTCCTAAATTCAAAATATTACAAGCATATAGCAAACATAATATATGTTTTTTACTCTGTAGTAGTTTATTATGTTTAATTAACTATTTAATTTTAATAGGTATTATTACATTAAATTGTGTATTTGGGAAGTCGGTTTCAAGCCGTAAAGTTGCGGTTATTGCAGCAAACTAGTTATCTCATTTATAGTGCACATTTATTTTATTAATACTTAATACTGATTATTAAATTATTTTAATAGATCATCCAAGTTTTGATGCCGGTATACAATTTATTAGTAAAAAGTAATCCCACTAATATTACAAATGCAAAAGTTGATATGTGTATGTTTTGTTACTCTTTTACGCTGAAATGGCTGGACGAATTTCCATGGAATTTAGTACGCAGATAGATATAGGATACTGCTAGTAATAAAATTTGCTAAAATAGGGCGCTACTTGAATATAATATTATACTTGAATATAATAGGGACACACCTTTTTTTTTTTTTTTTTTTAACGTTGGGAAATGCATTTACGCACGAGGTGTGGGACTCACCGGCAAAGCCAGTACTACCCACTAATACCCAACAAAGCCTTCCCCCGTCTTAATGGGGCGTCGCAGGATTGCTTACGTATTCAACTACGACGCCCCGACGGCAGGTCTGCCGAAGCAGACCACAACAACCACGGGGTTGCTCCACAGTCCACTCTACTGTCAGAGAAGTACCAGGAGTAACCCGCATGGCACACCGCCCTCCGAAGAGGGCCACCTCCCACCGCCCACCGAAGTGGGCCACTTCCCTGTGCGTTTCTTGGCTTTGCGCCCGGTTGGTTTGCCGGGCACTACTGAGCCCCCCCACCACGACAAGGTGAACGCACGTTGGGGGGGGGGGTTTAGGGACACACCTGAGTGAAGCAATGGAAAGTCACTATTTCTATTATTTTCCAATACAAACTTCCATACCTATTTGCACTCCCTTAAGGGATGATTTCCATAATAAAAAGTATCCTATGTCCTTCCCAGGGTCTCAAACTATCTTTTTACCAAATTTAATCTAAATCAGTTCAGTAGATCTAGAGATTACCCCCTACAACGTCACAAACTCACAAACTTTACTTCTTTATAATATTAGTATAGATTACTTTATGTATAACCAATTTAAATGTTTACATTATGCATTTAAGACTAGAAATATAAGATAGACAGAGAATTAGAAACATAATGATCCTTAAAATAGTATTATTCCTCTTATAAGCAAAGAAGACCAATAGAGCTCTTGAGTGTAGATGTTGATCTGTTTGCCAAAGCAGCTATAATATTTAAAAGATTAGGTTATAGCAACTTTTTTGAATTAGCAGTGTTTTAAAAATTTCTGTGTTTATATATTTTAAGAGCAAAGCTTAAAAAATCGCGGGAAAGAAAATAAATCACTTTTTTTTTCAAAACTGGCTAAAACAACACGCAGACAGCCAGGAGTTGTTGAAATGTACTGCAAAAGTCGAAACTGTGCACTCCACGTTTGTTTTAGGTTTCGCACTAGTTTTTGTGGTTTTTTTTCAAAATTTCACTCGACAATGGACTTCTTTCCACATATATATGTATATGTCACAGTAAAATCGTGAAAAAGTTTCACTGGTCGAGGTTAGGTTTGTAGAAGATTGTGATTTGTATACATTTTTTGATTTTAACTAACGAATTTTGTTTAAAATATAAAATTGTTTATGTAATTTCTAGGTACGTAGGTAGGTAGGTACATATTACCGAAATTTAGTTTAAAAATTTGTTTGTTTCTTTATACGCACAGGCGACGTCTTTTTTTAATTAGGTATCTATTGCTTTACTACTGAAAAAAAAACAAATCATTGACAAATATATTTGTTATTTTTTTATAGAGGTATAATGATTGATGATGAGAGGTATTATGATGTAATCATAATAACATTGTAAAATAGCAATAATTTTAACAAATTATTACACAGTATAAAATATTCATATAAGTATGTACTAAAAAATGACTCTTACAAACATTTTACTACACAATAAAAGAAAATGTCATATAAAAAATCATTTTAGTATAGAGTAAGTTTAATGATTTACAAAAATATATAGTAAATTGTTAATGAGCCCCAGTTTCTCTAAGTGACTGTCGGCACTCCTCATATCGCCGGAGCCAACGCTGCCCGTTCGCCGAGCGGTTCAAAGGCGCAGTACACCCGTATCCACCGTTGCCGTTTATCATCATGTAGTCGTAGCAGTCTGTTACTCCATCATCATTGCAATCCTAGAATAAAATATGATTGAATAATTATATTTTGCCCTTTTCAGCACGTCCCATTACTGGGCACGGGGCTCTATTCAATATGAGTGGGATTGAGTCATAGTCCACCACGCTGGCAAAGTGCAGTTTGTGGAGATTACACACCTCTCGAAAACTTGCTAGGTTCTCCCACAATAACAAACAAATATAACAATCGTTACTCTTTATAATTTTTGTATAGATGTGAAATGTTCACGTAAATGTAAGAAATCGCGTAAAATAATAGAATGTGACTATATTGGGTACATGAAAGCAATAAAATATTGCAAGTAGGCAGATTTAATTTTCCCATTTGCCGAACTCTAGCTTGTAGCAATAATGGTCCAGACTACAGCAGCACGCATTTTTGTACTTTCATATTCATTAATGTCACTTAATTTTTAAGTAAATTGTGTAACTTAAAACAATTTAAAAAAACGTATTTTTAAATCCACTAGAGGTCGTGTTACTACTACTTAGTAAATCTATAAAGGTTCTTCTTGGAACCAGTTTGGGAAACAGATAACCAATTTTGATGAAATTTTATTATTTTGATGAGTTTAAAAACATAATATATTGTATATTTTTTCATATTTAAAGCAACCTAAGGGAAAACTTGATTACAGTATTTAATGTACTTTTCATATAATATCACTTACTCTGGCAAATTTTGCTAAATATCCTTCTATAATCCGTTTAGCGCAAGGAAAACTTCTTGCGCAGTCTTCCCAGGCTGAAATAAAAAAAAATACAAATAATTTATACATTGATATAATTGATATTGAGTGTTTTACTTATTTAAATCCGATTTTAATATTTTCCTTTTACCCATTCTTTTAGTTCTCTTAAATTTAGAAGTTTAAGCAAGGACAAGGAAACATGGAAGAAGTTGGAGGAGGCCTTTATCCAAAAAGGGGTCCATATTTCAAATTAAAAATATAATTTCAAAGAAGACTAAACATAATATGTATAATAATAATTAAGAAAATTTACTAACAACTTACTAACTACGTTTGAATTGTAACTTGGAAATATGGAATAAATGGCTTTATTATTATTATTATGCTATGGGCCTCTGTTTACATATTTAAGATCCTTATGTAAATATTGCCTGAAATAAATGATTAAATAAATAAAAAATAAATTAAGTTTAGAAGTTAGATTTGTTGACGAATATAACGTGCTTCTATGCGATATCTGTTATGGCCAATCTCGCTGAGGTTAATCAACTGTCCAAGACATATTATCAGACACAGCGGGCTCTCTTTATTTCTTTTTAACTGGGGAGAGATAAGGCTCAGGACCGACACCTTAACGTGCTCTCCGATTCACGGGGATGTAGAAACGGCGGACTTCCCAACTCCGGGCTGCTAGTGAGCATTTCATGACTGAAACACCCTCCCTTGCTAATTAACTCGAACATAGGACCTCTCGATCTGCAGCCGTACATTCTAGCCACTAGACCAATAAAAAAGATAAAGTAAATATAATATATTATAGTCTATTATAAAAAGATGCTCAATTGTCCCAGATTTTTTTCCTCCGATCAAAACTATGATATAGAAACGAAAATTTACTAAAAACTATTAACCTACCTACAAAACTAAATAGAGCAAAGAGATGAAGTCTAAATGAGCTAAAAACTGGGTTATTGGAAGATATAACCAGATATGCCAAGATATGGTGGCAACCTCAGTGTATTTTGTTTATTTATTCATTAACTGAATAAAATAGTAATTTAATGAAAAAATCGATAATAAAAGGTTATTTCAGGTGTTTTTGGATCTTGTAACCTAAAACGTAAAACAGAAAAGTGTTTTTTTGCCGTTGCTTACTTACAATTATAGCATTATAACTAATTCATCGCCCCTGAGTGGCTCCGAGCACGGACTTTTTCTAAGCGTGGGAAAACAAATTAACGTGCTTTTTTAATATGTATACCATTCGTGGTTCGGCTAAGGTCGCATAATAAATGTTTTATTTTAATAAATTAAATATACCTACTATTTACTTTTGTATTTTTTAAGCCTGAATATAAATCTACTGAATTATACTTAGTCATAAATTTACATATGCAATGCAACTCCTGTGATTCCTACTTTAAAAACGAGGCTTTTTTTTAAACTAGGAAGTTTGCTTATATTTAATACCTTCATTATAGATATGCCAAAATCGTTGTTTTTCATTGTGTCCCATTCTATTTCCATAATTTTTTATTTTACTAATTTTTTGTCATTTGATTTTTAAATTATATAATTTGCCCTAAGTAGACATTAAAATGTACTCGAAAAATTCGTCATTACATTCCTCTCTATTTGTAAGCTATTAGTCAAAAGTTTTGTTTTGTTTCCGTTCATTATTAAGCCGAATTTATTGGTTTCTTGAGATAATTCTCTTATCATTTGCTCTAGAATACTGGGGGATTCTTCTAACAACATTATATCGTCAGCAAATCTCAGATGTTTTAGCCTCTTACCATTTATATAAATGCCTGAGTGTTCTAATTTCGAATTTCGAAAAATACTTTCCAATGACTTCAGTGTGTGTATTGTTACAAATACTAAAGCGTATTTATTTAACAACTATCTTCGATCGCGTTAAAACTACGAAAAATCTTTAAAAAGGTAGTTTCATACAAACTTTCATCCCCTATTTCACGCTCTTAAAGGATGAATTTCGAAAAATGTACACGTATTTATTTAATTTTATTGATGAGTATTAACACCAAGTATCAAGTAATTTTGATCATACATATTATTTTTGAATTGTATTATAACATGTTTCCCCGTGGGAATTAGATAATCTACCGCGGTAAAAAGTAGCCTATTAGCCAAAAAATCATGCCAATTCGTCACTCCGTTTCGACGTGAAAGAAAGACAAACAAACAAACTAACACACTTTCACATTTATAATATTACTATGGATGGCAAAAACAGTGCATTTGACAGTTGTTTCATATTGCATCGCAATGACTAATGCATTGGAAATTCTTTTCAGTGTTTATAAAGGCGGTCATTCGTAAATTTTACATTTAATTATTCGACCGATTTCGGTTTCAGCTCGCGGTGTTATTTTTTTGTTCATAATATAGATTAGTTAATTAACAGACAAAAATTTATATTTTAGAAATAAACACATATATGTGTCTTCGAACTCTGTTTATGGTTGAAACTGTTTGTGAAAGTAAGTTGTTAAGTCCCAGAATATAAAGCTTTAGGCTTATGGCATTGTTTTTCAATTTCAATACAACTTTTTAGATATATATTTTAAATTATTGAGCCGCCAAAATACAATAGGGGGAGACGGTGTAGAGCAAGTATGTCGGCTTATATTGTGTGTTCGTTTGTTTGTCTTACTGTTATAACATAATGGGGCGACCAATTGATGTGATAGGGAAAGTAACATACGTAACTTTTGCGTCGCTAAAATATCATGCTCAAAGAAAATACGTTATATTAAAACAGACACTTAAGATTGATATGGTTTTCTGTATGGAAATAGAGGGTTCTAAAATACAAGCGAAAGGAAAAAAGTATACTTGTACATATTTACAAAAGGACTTACTCGAAGTGTGTACGAAATACTTATCCAAAAGAAACAAAAGTATAAACTTTGCATCCGACCGGGACTCGAACCCGGACATCTATGATTGTCAATCTTGCGCCTTGGCCAGTTGACCACGATGCTTTTGCCCGAGCATGCGAAATAAGTGACCATATTTTGCGTGGACCATTTTTAAAGAAAACCGCATGAAAACTCGAAAACACACGTTTTTCCAGACTAAGACTGACCTAGATCTATTTTTAGCCCCCAAAAACCCCACAAACCAGATTTCAGCGAAATCGTTAGAGCCGTTTTCGAGATCGCTGATATATATACAAGAATTGCTCTTACAAAGAATTACAAATTTTGTCTTTAATGGTATATAATGGGTAATATTAATCTATCATGATCCGTCCGGTAATATAACATTAAAGTCGAAGTTCAGGTCTTATATGATTACATGGTAGATACGAGTATATGTGCGTGGCGTGTGTCATATAGTATTCATTTTATCTATAAGATTATTAGTCTATACACCTATCTATATACTATAAATAGGCAAAACAAAACAGTTCAGAATATATTTTTCTTCTGTTTGTGAATGATTTCTTTTTATTTAAAAAAAATGAATTAACTACTAAAAATATCGTTGCATAGTTGGGACTAGACCGTCTTTACATTAGACATGCTATACGTTTTGAACCATGAACGAATTACCTAACTCGTTCATGGTTTGAACCTTTCTTATGATATCAATTCATGATAAGGACGATTAACAAGCTATTGACATCTTAAGTAAGGAGACAAAATATTTTATAGAAAAAAATCGTCACTGTCTGAACACTTTAGAAAGTGTTTTATTAGTATGTTCTTTTGTTTTACGTAGATACCTACATATGTATATGTTTGAAGTTGCGATAGTCGTCCAGGGAACGCACTACGAGTTTTTCTAAAATTAAAGGAAAAAGAAGTGAAGTAAAATGAAGGCAACCGTACTGGTAGTGGAGCTGAAAATTTAATTTTTCTCACGTAAAAGTAATAAAACATCTAGTATATTGTAAATAATCAAACATCAAACGACACGTTTGGCTCAGCTTGTAACCCTACTTGCTGTGCCAACGGTCGCAGGTTCGAGTCCCGCTGGGGGCATTTATTTGTGTTATGAGCACAAATGTTTGTAATCCAATCATGGATGTTTATATTTCTAATATATATCTATTTAAAGTTATATATGTGTAGTGTATCAACTATCTGGTATCCATCACAGAAGCCTCATAGCTTACCATGGAACTAGATGGTGCAGTGTGTTAATGTCCTAACATATTTATTTACTTATCTAGAATATAGTAATTTTAGTTCTCAGAACCTTCTAATATATAGTAAAAAGAACAAAATTTGTTTGCCATTTTCGTTGAAACAGAATAGCTACATATATAGTCACATTGTTAGACTAAATAATTAAAATAGTCAGAGTTTATAGCGATTCCACAATCAATGGGGCACTATAATAGGATATTGATGTGTAATCTATGACATAATCGTATAAAGTGTGGGTTCATTAACCATTAGTTTCTGCCCTTCTGCGGCTTCGCAGTCGGTTGTGTTTTTAATTTGTTTGCAACTGTCCTCATATTTAACGTTAAATGTAACCACATTGGGTGGAGACTGGAGTTGTCGGAACTACCCAATCAATTAAAATGAAAGTATGATAAATAAGTTGTTTCATGGTAAGATATCCAATAGTTTTTATTTATACTAGTGATTTACCCTCTCTTCGCTCGGATGTAAGCCGAGGCACCTGAGAGTCTATTTGTAACTCCAGGCTATACACTATCTGTGTATTATATGAGGAGTAACAAACACAATGTGTGTGTTGTACATGACTTAATTTTCAAAATATACAAAAATTTTTTTTCCAAAAGTCATGAAAAGTCATCCAATCTTTTTATTGTAATAAGCAACCGTTAAAGTTCTAAACATTGTTTAATTTGCCGTTATATATGAAGAGGTTACCGGAAGCGATAAATGTACTGTACAGTGATAATAGATTTGCGGATGACAAAAATGTCTGAACCCGTTCACCATCTGACCATCTAACTAACGCGTCTCAATACTACGTGGTTGTTTTTGTTTCATGGCTGATTTTATTACAGCTTATTGCATTTACCGCTATGGCCATAGATTAAAAA